TCATGTTGTTAGACAACAATGAACCTACGAGCTATGGAGAAGCGATGGTGGGCCCGTATTCCGACAAATGGTTAGAAGCCATGAAATCCGAAATAGGATCCATATATCAGAACAAAGTATGGACTTTGGTGGACTTGCCCGATGATCGGCAAGCCATTGAGATAAATGGATCTTTAAGAAGAAGACGGACGTGGGCGGTAATGTTGCCGTCTATGAAGCTCGACTTGTGGGAAAGAGTCTTTTCACAAGTTCAAGGAGTTGACTACGATGAGAATTTCTCACCCATGGCGATGCTTAAGTCCGTCGGAATCATGATAGCATTAGCTGTATTTTTCGATTATGAAATCTTACAGATGGATGTCAAAACAAGTTTTCTTACCAGTTTTCGTAAGAAAAGTTGTATGTGATACAATAAAAGGTTTTGTCGATCCTAAGGATGCTAAAAGGTATGCTGGCTCCAGCAATCCTTCTATGGACTAGAGCAAGCATCTCGGAATCGGAATATATGTTTTGATGGAGTGATCAAAGCTTTTAGGTTTATACAATGTTTGCTAGAAACTTGTATTTACAAGAAAGTGAGTGGGAGCACTACAATATTTCTGATAAGTATATGTGGATGACATATTGTTGATCTGAAATAATGTAGAATTTCTGGAAAGGATAAACGGTTGTTTGAAGAGTGATTTTCAAAGGAAGACCTGGATAAAGCTGCTTACATATTGGGCATCAAGATCTATAGAAATAGATCAAGACGCCTGATGATACTTTCAAAGAACGCACACCTTGACATGTTTTTGGAAGAGTTCAAAATAGATCAGTCAAAGAAGGGATTCTTACCTGAGTTGTAAGGTGTGAAGTTGAGTAAGACTCAAAGCATGACCACGTCATAAGAAAGAGAAAGGACGAAGGTCGTCCCCTATGCTTTTGTCATAGGCTCTATACGGTATGCCATGCTGAAGTACCGCACCTGATGTGTGCCTTGCCACATGTTTGGCAGGAGGGTATAAAGGTGATCTAGGAGTAGATCACCAGATAGCGGTCAAAATTATCCTTAGAGGAATAAGGAAATATTTCTCGGTTATGGAGGTGATAAAGAGTTCGACGTAAAGAGTTATGTCAATGCAAGCTTAACACCTATCCGGATAGATCTGAGTAGAGATACCGGATACGTATAATGGAGCAACAATTTGGAATAGCTCCAAGTGGAACGTGGCAGCAGCATCTACGATGTAAAGTTTTGCGAAATACATAGGGATCTGAATATGGCAAGACCCGTTGACTACAACCTCTCTCACAAGCATAACATGATCAAACCCAGAACTCTTTGAGTGTTTATCACATAGTGATGTGAACTAGATCACTGAGTCTAGTAGACTCTTGGATGTTGGTCACATGGCGATGTGACCTGTGAGTGTTAATCACATGGCGATATGAACTAGATTATTGACTCTAGTGCAAGTGGGAGACTATTGGAAATATGCCCTAGAGGCAATAATAAATTAGTTATTATTATATTATATTTCATTGTTCATGATAATCGTTTATTATCCATGCTAGAATTGTATTGATAGGAAACTCAGATACATGTGTGGATACATAGACAACACCATGTCCCTAGTAAGCCTCTAGTTGACTAGCTCGTTGATCAATAGATGGTTACGGTTTCCTGACCATGGACATTGGATGTCGTTGATCACATCATTAGGAGAATGATGTGATGGACAAGACCCAATCCTAAGCCTAGCACAAAGATCGTGTAGTTCGTATGCTAAAGCTTTTCTAATGTCAAGTATCATTTCCTTAGACCATGAGATTGTGCAACTCCCGGATACCGTAGGAATGCTGTGGGTGTACCAAACATCACAACGTAACTGGGTGGCTATAAAGGTTCACTACAGGTATCGCCGAAAGTGTCTGTTGGGTTGGCATGAATCGAGACTGGGATTTGTCACTCCGTGTAAACGGAGAGGTATCTCTGGGCCCACTCGGTAGGACATCATCATAATGTGCACAATGTGACCAAGGAGTTGATCACGGGATGATGTGTTACGGAACGAGTAAAGAGACTTGCCGGTAACGAGATTGAACAAGGTATCGGGATACCGACGATCGAATCTCGGGCAAGTATCGTACCGCTAGACAAAGGGAATTGTATACGGGATTGATTGAATCCTTGACATCGTGGTTCATCCGATGAGATCATCATGGAACATGTGGGAGCCAACATGGGTATCCAGATCCCGTTGTTGGTTATTGGCCGGAGAGTTGTCTCGGTCATGTCTGCATGGTTCCCGAACCCGTAGGGTCTACACACTTAAGGATCGATGACGCTAGGGTTATAGGGAATAGATATACGTGGTTACCGAATGTTGTTCGGAGTCCCGGATGAGATCCTGGACGTCACGAGGAGTTCCGGAATGGTCCAGAGGTAAAGATTTATATATGGGAAGTCCTGTTTTGGTCGCCGGAAAAGTTTCGGGTTTTATCGGTAATGTACCGGGACCACCGGGAGGGTCCCGGTGGTCCACCAAGTGGGGCCACCAGCCCCGGAGGGCTGCATGGGCCAAGTGTGGGAGGGGACCAGCCCCAGGTGGGCTGGTGCGCCCCCCCACAAGGGCCCAAGGCACCTAGGGTTTGGGGAGGGGGCGCCTCCACCTAGCTTGGGGGGCAAGTTTCCCCTCTCCCCCCCTTGGCCGCCACCCTAGATGGGTTTGGGGCTGCCGCACCCCTTGGGGTGGAAACCCTAAAGGGGGAGCACCCCCCTCCCTCTCCCCTATATATACTTGAGGACTTTGGGGCTGACAACAGATGAGTTTTGACCTCTCCATGGCGCAGCCCTGCCTCTCTCCCTCCTCCTCTCCCGCGGTGCTTGGCGAAGCCCTGCAGGATTGCCACGCTCCTCCACCACCACCACGCCATCGTGCTGCTGCTGGATGGAGTCTTTCCCAACCTCTCCTTCTCCCCTTGCTGGATCAAGGCGTAGGAGACGTCACCGGGCTGCACATGTGTTGAACGCGGAGGTGCCGTCCGTTCGGCACTAGGATCTCTGGTGATTTGAATCAAGACGAGTACGACTCCATCAACCCCGTTCACTTGAACGCTTCCGCTTAGCGATCTACAAGGGTATGTAGATGCACTCTCCTTCCCCTCGTTGATAGATTACTCCATAGATTGATCTTGGTGATGCGTAGAAAATTTTGAATTTCTGCTACGTTCCCCAACACATAGGTCCTCGAACTATTTCAAAGGTGTCATGTAGGCCCTTGAACTATTTCAGAGGTGTCACATATATACACACTTATTACACTTGAAAGATTTTTTTAGGACCTAGATGACACTTTTCATAGTTTGAGGACCTATGTGACACCATCGAAATAGTTCAAGGACCTAGGATGCACTTCACTCTCAAAAAAGTATGATACACCACATCATTGGTTTGCTCCTCATTTTCTTCATCATCGTTGTACCTTTTACTTACATCTGCGGAAGCCATGGAATGCTTCTCTTAAAAAAAGTATCCACCCCCTTCCTTTCTTCGTTCTATTTGATGCTTGGTTATCATCTATGATGCACTTGCTTGTCTACACATCTACATTACCCTACGTAAGGGAAGCAGAGGGTGTTGGGTGGGGGGGGGGGTATATAACTATGTGAAGGAATGATGATAGGCAATACCAAAGAAGAGATTTTATAGGAACATTTTGGGGGTTTATGACGGTGGTGAATTCTCTAGCCATTGGAGATGAAAGTAAGAATTTTTTAAACCATGTATATTGCATTAATTATTGACGAACAATGAGAATATAATATATTCTACGCAATTTCGGGGTAGGACCATCCTTGTTTTTAGATATCTTAGCATGTGTTTACATGTTGTAGGACAGGACACTCTCCTGTGGTGGTAGCTTCAAATTCATAATTATGCATATGATTTCATTCAAGCATCAGGATTAAGATAACCAAAATAAATAAATACGTAATCCAAAACTGTAATTTACAAAGGTGAAAATATTTTTTTATTAAAAAGACGAATAAGAAAAGTGTTTTATCGTTTATGTCACTAGTTGTGTCTCACTACTTAATTTTACCATTAGAAGTTATAACTACTAAAAAATGCCATTGATACATGAGATGCTTGCTCAAAAATGCCATTGATACGATGAGATGCTTGCTCAAAAATGACATTAGATATCTAAAAAATGCCATCGCTCCGTTAGAATATTTGCTCAAAAATGCCATTAGACATTGTTATTTTCACTTCAAACCCGTTGACCATGTTATATGACAGGAATAAGCCTAGACCCACATGTCAGTCCTCTCTATCTCACAATGATAAGTGTGGCCCCACTTGTCAGGAGTAATCAAGCAAATAATTTTACAGAAAAATAAGAACGATGTCCGGATCAAGTAGGCCCCACACTTTATTTTAGTGAGATAGAGGGAGAGCTGGCATGTTGGTCCATAGGTATTTATGTCATTATAACATGGCAAAAGAGATTTGAGATCACAATAATGATGTCTAGTGGCATTTTTGAGTATGTGTCTAATGAAGCGATGGAATTTTTGAGCGGTTGAAATTTCTCGTGGCAAAACTGAGTAGTGGGACACTATCGGTGGCATAAATGATAAAAACCCATAAGAAAATGGAGAGAAACAGAAAGAAAAACGAACCAGAAAATAAAAGGAAATAAGAAAGGGAAAGCCGAACTTGGGCCAGGCCCGGGACAACCCTTCTCATGGATAGGCGCAGCCCGCAGGACTCGGAGCCCGAGTTGGTGGTGGAACCCAACTCGAAGTCGCTGCTCCCGTCCATATAACCCAACCCAGCCGACCCACAGGATCTCGCCGCGGAATCCCGATATTTATTTTTCTTGCGTTCCGGTCCCCAGGCTTCGAGTTATTTCCCTGGTCTGGTGCTCGCGCGGCGGCGGCGGCGGCGGAGGGTTTGCGTCGGCGCTCTCGCGAGCTAGGGTTTCGGGCCGAGGAGGAGGAGGAGCGAGATGGAGGAGGTGACGGAGGGGGTCAAGAACCTGGCCGTCACGGAGCCGCACAAGAAGAACCGGATCCAGGTCTCCAACACGAAGAAGCCGCTCTTCTTCTATGTCAACCTCGCCAAGGTGAATCCCATTTCCTCTCCCCGCCCCTTCGATCTCGGCTTGTTTGTTCCGCCCGGGTATTCGGGGAGGGCTTTGATCCGCACCGGGGTCCGGTCTAAAACCCTTGGAAAGTCCTCCCCATCTTGTTTTTCTGTTGATTCCTGCGTTTAGTTTAGTTTTAGAACGCCTGTGCTGGGATTAGATTCGCTCTGTGCACTTTCTGTTGTTGAGTCTGCGTTTCCGCTGGTCTATGCGGTTTATTTCGGGGCATAGATTTAGTTTTGTGATGTTTTTTTTTTTGCGTGTTTTTGTTGTGAAATCGGAAGCTAATGCTGTTGTGGCGATGATTTTGCAGAGGTACATGCAGATGCATAACGAGGTGGAACTCTCCGCTCTCGGCATGGGTAAGCTCCTCTGCCCTTCAGGATTATTTCAACTGTCTGGTACCAGGCTACTAGCGATTAGTAATGGCTGCTGTGCTTCTGCAATGAAGAGCTCATGAGCTTAGAACCGATTATATAAGCCTACCTCGTCATGATTTGTTTTAGTTTTAGATTTGACCAAAATATTCAGTGGTTGTTCTTGTTCGCGATGTCATTGTGCAAGTTTATTTTTCAGCATTCATGCTGATTGTCCCAACTTATGGATGGTTAGTGTTCTCCTAAGTCCTTAGGAAGGGTCAGTCGATTCTAATGACTTCTAAAACTAATGTTTAACAGTGTTGTCGCTTACATGTGCTGTCTTACTAATTATGTCTTTCAAACCATCGGGTTGCCTTGATTTCTTATGTGAGATGCTGTATATTAAAACCATCGGATATGCAGTTAACTTTTCAAATGCAGCTGAGAATTGCCAGTTACTCCATGTACAGGAGCTCATTTACGTTATAAATCCATGTACAGGATGCTCTTTGGCTACTATGCAGTACACCCAAGAACTTGAGTACTTTTTTACCAGCTTGTCTGTGTTGCTTTGGCTGCTGTTATGTTCTTTTCTTGTCAATCCAAATTTTTGGAAATTTATTATGTGATCAAAGTATCATTCATTTTAACATCACAAAACTAATTCATCCTTCGGCTGTTTGTCTGATCCTCTTTGATGTTAAAGCCATCAAATGCCAGTTTATTTGTCTCCTTCGTTCTGCTCATTGATTCTTTGTTATGGTGCTTGAAATGTCAACTGATGAATCTCTTGTCTATCCTTTCAGCTATCGCCACTGTGGTGACAGTTGCCGAAATTCTGAAAAATAATGGCCTTGCTGTTGAAAAGAGTAAGACTCAGGTTTCCTTGTTTGTATATTCATCTTTGCATTTTCGTTCTCTCTAGTTACTCAAATCAAATAAAATCTCTTGCAGAAATCATGACATCCACTGTTGATGTCAATGATGAATCAAGGGGCCGCCCGATGCAGAAGGCTAAGGTTAGATTTCTTCCTCAATTCCCATGAAAGATAGCCGTGTTTTCCAACGGTATGCCAATGTTTGCTGATCCTTTAAACTGTTTCTACACCAGATTGAAATAGTGCTGGGCAAGACGGAGAACTTCGACGAGCTGATGGCCGCCGCCGCGGAGGAGAGGGAAGTCGCAGCCGCCGAGGAGGGCGAGGAGCAGGGCTAATAAACTGTCTTGAGCCGGCTGTTGTAGCTTTTATTTAGTACTTGCTGCTAGGTTGTGTGTTATCTTCTCTTGGCCAGCAAGAGATAGGTACTTGTGTAACCAAAGAGTTCTTTGTATTTGTTTCGTCTCCGTGGTAGTTTAATGTCGATGGTATTCTGGTTCACTCAAATGATATGCCTTGTGTTTTATTCGTTTTATTATTTGGTGCTGTTTGTTAACCTTGTTTTGACGCCTCGCTTGTGAAAGAAACCCTCGGACACAATACTACTCGGAGTCGTATCTCTAGAATCTGTTTGGGATACTGGACACGGGGTTTCAACTCATAACCAAAGACTATTGCTTGTACGCAAGTCATATCCTATGAGTTTTGCACAAAAGGTCTATAGATAGATGCCTCAAAAGACCAACTTCCGCGAGCCCCTAAGAGCATCTCTAGCAGGTCCTGGCAAAATATTTGTGGGATGAGTTTACATGGTCTGTTCCGAGCCGAAGGCCTCGCGGTACCGTAAATTTTCTTGAGCCTCACAACTTTTTGATTTTTAACAATATCAACCGAACAGAATTATAATATAAATTAAACGTATGAATATAAATGATCCGAAAGGCAATTCACAGTACAACAATCTTCATTACAACAACCGTTCAAATTCTAATAATTAGTACAACAATAAATTGTTCAATCACACACAAATACATATGAAATTTATAAAATTAAAATTAAAATGGGAGTCTAATCTCCCATAGAGTTGCCACTATGCTCAACAAGATCATCGCGGAGCTGGTAGTGTGAAGCACTATTCTCAATCTTCCGGCATGTCTCAAGAAATGCAGTGATCTCACCTGCGTCCCTGCCAGGCTTCACATGGCTACCCACATTATCATAATAAAACTCTTAAGTTCAAATTTCTCTCATCCTCGATGATCATATTGTGTAAAATTACACATGCGGCCATGATGTTTTTGAGGGATTTCTTATCCTAGAATCGAGCGAGACCTCAAACAATGGAAAACCAAGCTTGCAACACAACAAATGCCCTCTCAATATCTTTTCGGCATGTTTCTTGTGCTTCGGCAAAAATTTCGTGCTTCTTGGTTTTGGGGTCACTGATGGTCTTCATAAATGTTCACCATGGAGAGGTCTTCACAAATGTTCACCATGGAGGATAAATACCGTCGGCAAGATAGTACCCCATGGTATAATCATGGTCATTGATGGTATAGTTGCAAGCCGGAGCTTTTCCACTCTAGCTGAGCATAAAGATGAGAACGATGGACATTGATATCATTGAGAGACCCTGGCAAACCAAAGAAGCATGCCAAATCCATAAATCGCGTGAAGCCACAGCTTCAAGCACATTGGTAGGTTTACGTTTGTGTCCAATGTATTGCCCTGCCCAAGCCATCGGGCAGTTCTTCCACCTCCAATGCATGCAATCAATACTCCCAAGCATGCCCGACCATCCACATTCTTCGTTCATCGCCATCAACTTCTTTGTGTCCTCCTCATTTGGAGCTTGAAGATACTCTGGGCCAAAAACCCGAACCATTGTCTTCACAAACACCTGCACGCATTTGATAGTGGCATCTTCTCCAATGCGAAGATATTCATCGGCATAGTCGGCGGGAACGCCATATGCAATCACTCTCATCGCCGCCGATATTTTTTGATATGTATTAAAGCCAAGCAAACCGGCAGCATTCCTTCGACGAGTGAAAAGACGACAATTTTGCTCGCAACCTTCAATGATGCAAACGAAAAGAGGCCTACACGTTCGATACCGCCTACAGAATAGGTGAGCCGGATATGTCGGTACCTTGGCGAAGTAGTCCTTCATAAGCATCTTGTCACTGAGAGATCGGTTGGGCAGAATGCATAGCTGGTCAACCTTGGATCCATGACGCTTTCTCTTCGGACCCCTTTCAAATTTGTTCACGAGCTACAACAACACTAGGTTGTCGACATCGTTGTCCAAAATCTTCTCTCTATCACGGAATCATCTGACGACGACGACGACGACGAACTCCAATCCATCTAACAAAAGAAATGCACGTGATGAATTTTCCTAAATCTCGCAGGCCGAAATTGAATCAACAAATCACCGGGCATTGAACTTACCTTCCCCGAATGCAATTCCGCCTCCCGGAATCAAGTGAGCCGCCGCTTTCTTCTCCGGTGTCGGCCGAAGCAAATCGGCCAAACCCCTTCTTCACCACGATCCAAATCCGCGGCGCCGGCGCGCGCAGCTATCCCTCAGGCGATTCCGGGGTTCACCGGCATGGGAACCAACCGGATGCGCCCACTACAAGGCCGCGCAGCAACCTCCGGGGCGGAACCATGGTGCTGGTGGCGGCCGCTCGTCTGCGGAGAAAAATGGGCACCCTCGGCCTCCAAAATTGGTGGAATAGGTGCGGCGGGGGTGACAGAGCTACTGTACGGCGCGGGATGGCTGGGGTCAGCAAGAGACGACAGGGAGATGCGGCGGCAGGGAAGGGCGCGTGAGGTGAAATTTCCTTGGTGCCAAGACGCGGGAGAGATAAGGGAACCGACAAAAAGAGGGAGGGAACCCGTAGATATGATGAAATCAGCCCGGACTTTGCAGGATCTCACAAAATAATTTAGCGGACGACCAATTTTATAGATTTGTTCCGGGCGAAAAATACGTCCCCATCCGCTATATCGGCGGTTATTATAGCGGACAGCCTATTTTACAAGATCTGCTAGAGATGCTCTAAATCTCACACTTCATGTTTCGTTTTTTTAAATCTTTATAGCTATACCAACATAGTTCTCGGACTGTCGATTGATCGGCGATCCAGCTCCTCGTGATTCATTAAAAATCAACATGTGTAGTTCTAATTTGCACATGAACAACCATAGTTATTTGTGAGTCTTGATTCATCAGCACAATCTGCATCTTAAATGTGTTTCTCAAAAAACAAATACTTATAACTTGGTCTAGCATATTCTTTACTATGTGCAGCATACATTATCAACTAAAGAACAGGGAAATGCATTAGAGCTCCGAGGTGCCACACACCCCTATATGAATAAACATTAGAAAAATTACCAATAATTTTTTTAATCTGAAATTTGGGGATATCAAACCTAGGTGCCCATTGTACACTGGTGTTTAGTTTCGTGAGGAATGGGTGCCTATGATATCTGTGGAAAAGGAAATATGGTCCGACATATGATCCATCCAAATAGTTTTTTTATACATAGGATTTTTTTGACTCTTTTATCAATATGAACACGGCACCCATTCCCCACAAAACTAAACATGGGTGTACACTGGGCACCCAGTTTTTTTTCAAAACGGAGGCAAAAGATTTGCTTCATCTATTAAATGAGGAGAATAGAGTTTTAGAGTGTTACAAGACCCCACCGAGCACAGACTGACAATTACTCGCTTAATACAATTTTGTGGTATTTTTTTAGTGTTGTGTTCATATAGGGGTGTGTGTGGCACCTGAGAGCCACAAATCCTCGTCCCTAAGAACAACGACATTGTATTAAAAAGACATATCTTATACAGAATCCATGACCCCCACATCATTATCCTCTTTTTTGCATTACTAACAAAGATATGAACAGATCCGGTCAACCTAATCCAAGAACTCATGTCCTTCATTGAGAGGTAAACAACCGAGCTACTCGAAGCTTCCCTGCTGCAACACCTCAAGCTAGACCAAGCTATCTCCATTTTTTCTCTAGCCACTGATGCCATCCCCATGACAAAAGGTGCAACTGAGCAATACCCACCTCAAATAAGCTCCCTATATATTGACATACATAAATCATAATACTAAATTTTGTTTTGCAGGAGGCTTGGCTTTGGCCCCCTCCCCCTTCATGACACCATATTACATTTCTTCAATAATTATTTATGTTGCAATACATAATATATTCTATTATTGCCATTGGGCCCACTGTACTCAGCACTAGAGCCTCTCCGAAACGCTAGCGATGGCCTTGTCTACATACCTCAATACCAACATGTTTTCTTTCATGGCTACTTCTATCCGAGAGTCATCTCCTTGTTCGCCGAAACACATGCCAATATTTTATCAACGGGCTTCGATATTTTCATCCTGTAAAGTAAAATCACGTTACTCCAGCTATATCCATCCGAATGGAATTTTTTATGTCAGTTATAGTGTAACCTCACACATGTGTCTGACACAAGTCTGGCGGACCTTGCTCTGATTATTTTTGCTCGTTTGTATCCTATTGTGGTTTTTGATGACAGATAAGACAAGAATCAAGACGAGACCATTTTTGTGCTACTATATTTTGTGCCAATTTATTCATCTTTTCTTGTGGCAAAGACCCTCTGGGCTGAGTGAAGTAATTTCAAGAATGGTCATTATATATATGGCTTTGTCTGCTTTCTTGTACTCATCTATGTTTTGTCTTGGTAAGGATCATAATAAAATGTTGTTCACATCAAACTTCTCTAAGTTCTTATGCACATGGACGCAATCCAAGTTCGATTGTTCAATATATGAAGGCATTGCAAGGAGAAAACCATCCAATGTTTCAACGTTTACCTCCTAAACTAATAGTCATGTGAGTAAACAAACAAGAGATAGAGGAAGGTTCCTATGGCGTCCGCATAAAATGGATTCCCAGCCAAGATGGCACCACCAATAATACCAGTGCCTTTTGATAAAGTCTGGTAGATGAATAACATCTCAACGGAAGCCAAAGACTCATGCTTATCATTTGCATTGTTCAAACAACTAAGATGTTTATTTGTAGGTCTTCTCTACCGATATCATATTCAAGGAGTTTTTCATTGCACATGGTTTTCTTGGGGGTGGGGGAGGGGGGAGGGGGGCAAAAGACCTCTAGCCTGCACATAGCCCCGCTACTACATGCTATGTTGCTTGGGTGGTTCTATGTCGTATGTATTCTGGTGAACATACTAGAGGAATTACCATTCTTAATGTTGGAAATTTTATATTACCTGTTTGTTCATAAGAAAATCTATGAAGCA